TCAGTCACAGAGCGTGGAGTCGGCCAGTCCCTGATGGCCAATATTTTTCTGGAATTTGCCTGACCTCCCTCTCGGGAAATCACAAAGCCCAGGAAATGAATAGGACTAGCAAACTCGCACTTGGACAGATTCACATACAATTTGTGATCGCATAGAACTTGGAAAGGTTGCGCGAGGTGCTGCACATGTTCATCAAACAAAGTGCTATAAACTAAAATGTCATCAAAATAGGAGATGCAGAATTTACCCGAAAAGGGTTTAAGCACTTCGGTCATTAGCCGCATGAAAGTGGAGGGAGCATTGCACAATCCGAAGGGCATCACCCGCCATTCGTAGAGTCTCTCACGGGTCTTGAACGCCGTCTTCCATTCGTCACCGGGTCGAATGCGAACCTGGTGGTAATTGCTGCAGAGGTCCAATTTTGAGAAGATAGCCGCGTCGTGTAGTTTATCCAGCAGGTTCGAAATCCTAGGGACTGGGAACCTGTATTTGGTGGTGATTTTGTTGATGGCCCTATTGTCTATGCACATTGTCCACTGACCATCTTTTTTCGGGACAAGGAGGGCCGGCATGACACATGGACTTAAGCTGTGCTAGATCAATTGATGCCGGAGAAGATCTTCCATAATGTTATGCAAAATCATGTTTTCTTTGGGACTCATTCGATAATGAGGTAGGTTGGGCAGTGTAGCCCCTGGAATGAGGTCTATCTGATGTTGAATGTCCCAGAGCGGAGGGAGCTGGGACGGTAATTCAGCAGATTAACATCTGCAAACTCTGTCAACAAAGTTTGAATGGCCTCTGGGGCTTGCAATTTGTCCCCTTGGGTAGTGCCGTCCCATGCTACCAGAGCTATAGTAATGAAAGTCCTTCCCCTGCCGATTGTAAAAGTACTTGTCCAGATACGAGATAAGCAGCAACTTGGCCCTTCTCATTTTTCCCGACTGCATCCTGCGAATGCGACAACATGCGTAATTTCTTTCCCTTCCAGTCAAATGAGTATATGTTGGCACAACAGTCATAGGTAGCACTGGCATCAAATTGCCAGGGCCGGCCCAAAATGATGTGGCAGACGTCCATTTCAAGGACGTCACAGTTAATTTCACAAACGTAGTGCCTTCCTATGGAGAAGGTTACATGGCACATTTCGGCAACAGTGATATCAATTCCTCGCTTAACCCAACTAATCTTATATGGTTGTGATTTCTTTGTAGTTTTTAACCGTAGGGCTTGCACCACTGATCTTGAAATCACGTTCTCGATACACCCACTGTCAATCACCAATTCGCACACTTTCCCGTTGATGGTGCATCTAGTCTGAAATAACGCATTGCGTTGGGACTGGGTAGGTTGTCTAGGAGCCAATAACAATTTTTCCAGGATACAAATAACAAGATCCCCCTCATCTCCCCGGAGGTCTTCAGCAAACTCCTCATCACCCGGATTGTCTTCGTTGCCGCCGCCTTCCTCCAGATGATCTCCGTCAAGCATCTGGAGCTGTTGTCGATTTGGGCACTCATTGGATTTGTGCCCATGCTGGAAACACCTAAATCATTTCAACGTCGACGGTCGGCTGTACGGATTCTCCCTCAAAGGAGCTTTGGCTCTAACTGGGATTCTGGCATCCAATGGAGAATTATTGCTAATAGGTGCAGTTGACGAACCTGCCCTGGCCGGCGGAATAGTAGGTTTGACAGATTCTGAATTCGCCTCAGGAATAGCTTGCCTCCGATTGGAGTAGCTGTGAGAGTGTCGCTGCATCTGTGATTCCGCCTTTAAGGCGAAGTTGACGGCCTGTGATAGAGACAAAACTGAATTCAGTTCTAACTTGTCCTGAATTTGATCTTTTAGCCCTCCAGTATACCTTGCCACTAGTTGGTTGTCTGTCTCTTGTAGGTTGTTGCGAGCACTAAGGCGATAAAACTCTTCTGTGTATTCGTTCACCGTCCGCGGGCCTTGAACACAATGTTGGTATTTGAGATAGAACATCTGTTCATAGTCGGTGGGCAGGAAATGTCCTCGCATTAACTGTTTCATCTGAAGCCAACTGGGAACTGGGACGCGCCCCTCGCGCCTCTGGCTTTGCAACATTTGTTGCCACCACGCACCTGCTCCGCCCTTCAACCGACACACCACATACTTTACTTGCTTCTCCAGATGAATTTCCATATACTCAAAGAAGGTTTCTACTGCTCTTTCCCAATCGAAATAAGTCCTCGATATGAAGACGACTGTCGAAGAAGGGAATATCCATCTTAACCTTAAATTCTCCCTGGTCTCTTCGTGGGTTTCTTGCAAACCGTCTCGGGCCGCCATGATAGCGATAGCGGCGCTCATCATCGGATTCAGATGCATTCGGCGGGAACTCTGCATTGACCTCTCCCTCAAAATTTGAGAATTCTGCGGCGAAAGCTTGTGGTCGTCGCCCCAATAAGCCCGGATTCGGAATGTGCGGAGGTGCCTGCGCCTGCGCGCGGCCGATTACCATTGTATCTACCATTGTTTTGAGAATTACAAACTCCGTCCTCATCTCCACGGAGAGGCGGAGAAACTCGGTTCTTAGTTCTTCCAGGTGGTGTGTGATGCTAGCCTGAGCCACCCACACCGCGTCCAAGCTCCAATCATCGTCGGCCGCCTTGCGGGAACTTCCGTCAGCCATCTCCCAGGTTGGCTCTGATACTAGTGTGATGCAGCAGCTCACCTGCATAGGAGAAAAACCACAAGAAGCAGAAAAGAAAGGGAAAACAGAGGAGATTGTCTAAGGAGTTTCTATCTTCTTCTCTATCCATTTCGTAAAAACAGAAAACATATAAGAGGATGCAGTGGCTTTCCTCAATACTAAAACGGGAGTAGCAAAAACTAAGGAAAAGTGGCTATAAGCAGAAATAGAAAAACAGTTAGCTAAAAAGGTAGTAGTGGAGGTGAAACCAAATATTCTGTATCAGCCACCCGCATATGAAGACCGCATCAGCTTCTGAAGAAATTATCACCTATTAAAGAAGCAATTGAAGGATACCAAATGAAATAACATAGAACCGGAAGACAAAAAATTTTGTTCCTCCTAGAAATTAAAGCCAGTGAACGCACCAAAAACAACAAAAATATGCGTCCCAGTTTTCAGTTCATTTATTTCACAAGGCTGAAATCCATCTAATTTTCTGAAAAAGGCTGCATCAAGATCCTTAGCAGCTGCCATCTGGGGGTATCAGGAGTTCAGAGAAAAAATTACAAGGGTCGATACAAGTACATCCTGACAGAATGTTCAAAGCATTTGGTGAAGATGATCCTTACAGATTTAGTCTGATCAAACCGGTATACTGGAAAGCAAAGAAAGAACATGCCAGCGGAGGAAACCTTTCCCGTTTTTGTACTGTCTTCCTGCAAAACAAGTGTGCCCAAAGAATCATCATTGCAAAAGTATATTAGTAATAATTCAGTCTGTTTCTTTTGCCCAATTCATAGCGGTTGATTCTCATGAATATCGCTGCTATATGTAAAAACTCTAAAATGAAACTGCAATCAAACTGACTATGCTATAAATTTGAGGGTTGAATAATGAAAAAAGAAAAATCCTTGATAGCCAAGTGTAGTAAGCCATCATCGGGGGCTCGAACGTGACTAAACAAAGCGAGGGATCCACAAGGGAGAGATAGAACTAAGATGAAGAGGCAGTAAGAAGAGATAGAGAGTGAGAAAGGGATCGAGGGAAGAGAAACAATCTTCGATTGGGATTAAGCCTTATTTGCTCAGTCTTTAGTAAGGACGGAGTGTAAGGACGGAGTGGTCTTTGATAGTGAGAGAAAAATGAGAGGTGGATCTTGTGAATTGGGAAGTGTGGTCGAGCATGAGGCTGAGCATCCAAGCATGCTTTTGCATGAAATTGGGCCGATGGGTAGCTCCAATGGCAAATAAAATAAGAGAGGGTTGCCATTGATGGCTTGGCCACAAAACATCGATCTTCAAATGGCTCAGATAGGAGAGCAGATGCATTATAATTGACATAGATTAAGAAAAGTAGATGTAGACATAAAAACACTTCGTTAAAATGAGGCTTCATTTGAAACAGCTTTCTTATTATTTTTAAAGCATTTTTTTAGTACAAAAAATTTAATTTTTTATCAAAAAATTACTTTAAGAAAACAATAAAAAAAAGTTTCATGTGATCAAAGTATGTTGATGAATTCTCTTAGAGAAAACGTCTAGTGACTTTGATGAACTGGGATCAAATTCATAAGGCTTGATCAATCAACTAATTCAAATAAATGCGAATGTACAACAAGGACATCAAAATACTCATGCATTTATATCACACCATGTTGTTAGAGAGAGAGAGAGAGAGAGAGAGAGAGAGAGAGAGAGAGAGAGAGAGAGAGAGAGAGAGAGCGATATTGTGTATGCCACCCACCACGCGCGTGATACTAAGCTTGTGGGTGAAAGGAAACTCATAATTAATATGATTTGATGAACAATAATCAATCAATGCAAAATAATATATAGCAAAATATTAAAACAGTTCGCACGTGCATGGCTCACCTAAAAAAGATATCTATACTACTATTATAAAAGGACATTGAGTTTCCTTCCTCTAACAAATCTTGTTCATCCATTCTACTTATTTTTTAATTATCTTGGCCGTCCATTCTATTAAAAGTATTTAATAAATCTAAAAAAATCATTATATAAAGCTCATTTAATTTTATGGCCCATTGAGATTCCTAATTTCCGTTTTCCTATGTCTATTACTCTATTCTTCACTGCATGTTTTATTAAATAAAAAAAATTCACAATTAATTTTAAAGTCCCTTCAGATTTCCTAAGTTCCGTTTATTATATTAAACGGACATTTTGCTTTCTCTATTCCTATTCTGATATTCTCTACCTTTTTTCTACTTTATTTATTATATATTAATTCTGCACGTTTTAATTCTCCACCTTTTATTTCTATTCCGTTTCTCTTTTTCCCTTCCTGCAAGTGTAAACCTACCCTAATATCGCGATTCTTCATCTTCGCCCCGTCTCCATATTCTTCGGCTTGCCCTAGCTGATTCCACTCGCCGTCAGGTAGGTTTCTCTCCAATTAAATCAGTCTTCTGAAATTCTTCAACGTTTTGCTGCCTCCGCTCGCCGTCATCTCCTCCGGTAGGTTTCGTGGCCTCAAAATATTAAATGTCAGTAACTCTCGGCATTTAATCACCCGCTTCTTCATTTCGTGTTTTCAACTTCTTAAACGTTTCAGGATCTCTTCTCCAATTAATTTGGATGCATGAAGATGAATTCAACCGTTGAAACGTTGCAACCTCCGACCGTTCGGTGGCTGTAAGATGACTGTCGCATATTCTCTTTCTCCCTTATATATTATTCTCACATGTTTTTCCTTTAGCTCTTTTGTTTATGGATCTCTACTTCAGCGAACCTGTGAATCTCGACACCATTTTGGCTTCAAATTTAGGTAATTAATTTTATGATGTAAATCATTTATCAAGTTCATCTTTCTGTTTCAGATTGAATTTATATTAATAAAATTAATTCTTTTTATTGGATTTTAATTTTGGGCTCGGTTTTAATTCATTATGGGTATATAACTTTGTGAATTTTATACATTGTTGTTTTATTGAAATCTTTTTTTTAATGCTTGTGGAATTTGTGCTATTTATCCTAATATAGGATTTTATCTTTTCATTTTTTATGTAATATTGTTTATTTAAAATTTCAATTATTCCAAAATATTATGTTACAATTATCCCCAATTAAATTTATGAGATTCCTTGTTCACATTATTAAGTGAAGATTCATGATTCTTTTATGTTCCTATCCTATGACAAATATTACCCGGTTTCTAATGTTCAACATTTTTAATCAGAGGCAATTTATATTAATTCATATATAAAATTTACCATTATAATGGTTGTCATATCTTCTCTTCGTCATTAAATTATTTCTCACAAATATCATATAAAGCTGTATGGAAATTTAAAAATAACTAATTTTATGTAACATATAAATAAAAATTTGAGATATATAGGTACTTAATTGCTTCAGTGAACCCAGAAATTGATTCATGAAGAGCTCTTTATGCTATTCGCATCTTTGGCAAACTAAACTTCACTTTAAAGCTTCAGATCATGTCTAGCACAGATGTTAATTATCATCCAATAACAATGGTTCAGGGAAATTAAGCTACTGAAGTGAAGTCTATGGACAGTTCTAATAATAAAATAAAGCATTAAAGGAATAGGCTCTCCTCCAGTTGTTATTAGCTTCAGTAATCAGTAATTTGCAAAAAAGGAGTTGAAGCTCTTTTACTAAGAAATCTATGACTGGCACTAAAATCAATTATCAAAAAGGAATTCCGTTTTACAACAATCAATCTTCTGATGCCATCCAACACCAACGATATAAAGAAGCAATCATATCGGAAATCATTGATAGTGAAGAGCTTATACAAGTAGCCGATAATAGCCATAGAGATGTTATGATGTGTAGAACAAGAACTAATTAATAGTAATCTCACTTATATTGTTACAATTATTCCTAGCTATAGTTTTCTTGTAAAGAAAGTCCAAATTATTTTCACCATTGGTTAGCCACATGACTTTAGATCTCTAGATGATCAAGCGGACCAAGAAGAGTAACAAGAAGCTAGTTGATGACTAATATCTTTAAAAACAGGATTAATTATTTATTTAAATAATAAAAATATAACTAAAGTGATCCTGTTCTAGTTTCTCAATCCTTGCACTCTTTTCACAGCTTGCCGACTCTTCTGAATTTATATGTAATCTTCAACCTCTCTTTTTTTAATTTATTGTTTTCAATCTTATTGTCCTCAACAATACTTTCTTCCTTCTCGAAGTTGCCATCTACTTTGAACGAAAAATTTCAATCCTATCACCATTGCCTTGTATTTCTCTTATAACAAATATTTTATGTATCTCTCCTTCTCGCAGTCTCTTCAGATTGTTTTGGCTCTAAAAATTTTAACCTCTCCTTATAAATTTGCATCTCTTATGTATCTCTCCTTGTCTCTCCTCGCGTATTCTTCATAGAGCTATCAAAATCAAAATTATAGGTACATGAAAGAGAACATACAATCTTTCTAAACAAATAAATTGAAGTATGGAAATAAAACTTTATATGAGGCAACCAATTAATGTGGTGCATCTTAAGAAAGCAACTTAATGCCTGGCTCCCCACATTTAATGGAATTTTTTTGGGTGATGATAGATCTCAAAGTAATTTAGTTTATTTCAAATGAGTATAATGAAACTTTTGATTTATAACCCATAAATTACAATCATCTCATTTCTAATCCAATGAATATGGGATCTCTCTAAGTTCTTCTCAGCAATGAAAAAGTTATAGCACTTCGGTTGAGCTTTGGCCTGGCTGGGCCGCGGTTCTTAAGCCGTCGTCTCCTTCCCGCAGATTTTGTTGCTGGCATATAAGATAAATTGGCATTTACCATGGTTGCAACAACAATTGAGCAAGGTGAAGGGTTCTGGAAGTTTAGCTTCACTGGAGAAGAAATTGGCTCATCGGGATTAAGCATAGATGGAGGACTTCCTATTTGATGTTGATGGATAAGATATAGTATCCCGTGAAGTAGCTTCAAGCCAGTTTTTACAGTCACAAAGTAGCCATACTCAAACTTGCCGTCAATAGTTCCAGTCCCTGTGAAATTACAAGTACAATGGAAAAAATAGAACTAGATGACTGCCTTTTGTTTTGTTCACATTATTTAATTTTGGAGTAAAGTCATAAAAAAACATCCTAACATTCAAACAATGGAAAATTTTAAAAAATTCCAAATAGATTATAGCTAACACGCTATGATGATGCTAACAAAAAAAAAATCTACTTATTCTTAGACTTAATAGGCTTAATTGCTTCTTCGAATTTGGGACATGTTTGATTGGGGCTTCAGATGACAGATTAAGTGTTAAGTAGAGTTTAGCAGTTAGGCTTATGAAAAAAAATAAATTAATGTAAGTTTACATTAAACTAAGAGAAGTATTTAATTATAGTTTAGCTTAATTAAATAGTTTATATTTCAAAACTCCTTTTTAAAGCGAGTTCTTTTTTTTTTTTCAATTTGTTGCATTTTGCCAATAAATCAAACTACAAAATTTATATATATGAATGCCCTTGAGTTTCTATATTTGATACTTAGGTTATCAAACAGTCTCTTGAGTTTCATGTAAAAGCTACAATGCAAATGATAAATAGTTTATGGAATCCATGCTACAACATTGAATAGAACTATATGAATCATTGTTACTAAAAACTTACACTTTTTCAGCATACAATTTCCTATACGTTTTAGAGGTATGTAGATCTTTCGTAACATTTTGAAGCATTTTTTCTGAGACACATGTAAGTTTCTGAGTCACGTGTATGTTTATTTTGGTATTCTTATTAATCTGCTTAATTAAGAATGAAGATAAGCTTCTACTTTTAGAAGCAAAATTTCTGTAGCAACTTTCAGGACATTAAGCAAAAAAATAATTTTTCCATCCACTAATAAATTGTTTGCACTAATTAGAATTGCAATAAATATTTATACGTTTTGTTAAATTATATTCTGAAAATTAAACTCAGATCAATTATTTTATTAAGCTGTCCCAAACGAAGCCTATATCCACAAAGATTTCTTAGCTCACTCAACTTCTTTACACCAACTACATGAACATGATTTTCTTCCCCTTGCTTTAGAAAATGAAAATTTTCTTTGGTAATGTTAATCAATATTGTCTACAGAAAGTATGTTCCCATTCCAATGTCTGTATATTTGGCTAATAAAACTAAACTACTTAACGGTAGAATGTATCCTATCTATTTCAAATACTCAAAGTTTAAAAATCTTATTAATTTTTTTTACTGAGATGAATCATCATACATTTAAATATTGTTCAAAGGTGGTTAATGAAAGAGTATAATTTTGAGGGATTCCGGTAGAGAGAGCAAGCAATTAGGATCGGGTAGGGAGAAAATGTAGATAACACACACACACACACACACACACACACACACACACATATATATATATATATTTATTAAAATAAGGTGATAGTTAATCATCTAACATGGAGAGGTTGCAAGAGATATATAATTAGATAGCTAAGAAATGATCTTATACATACGTGAGGAAGGTAATCAAAAATAAAAGAAGAACAACTCTTTTTTCTTTTATCACTTAGTATCTGTGCGAGGTGAAAGTCTCATGCACAGTTTAGAATGAGAGAAAGAAGTGAGGAATCCTCTTTTCGACTCTAGCTCTCCCACTCCAGTCGTCGCTTCTCTTTCCATAACATCTAACATGGAGAGGTTGCAAGAGAGATAGAATTAGATAGCTAAGAAATGAGAGAGATGATTGAGATGTAGATAGAGAAACTAGGATGCAAGCCAAAGATTAAGATCTTCATACGCAATGACTTGAGAGATAGGGTACAGAAATTTGTGAAGAAAGGAAATATTATTATGATGGAGAAATAAGTATCTCATCGTACTTCCAAATTTAACCATGCTTATTACATAATATCGAATCACTATTTATTTTGTAGTTAGCAGCGGTGAACTAAATTTATTTGATAATTCAGTGCATCTACATTAAACTTGCTATTTTCAAAACTCCTTATTAAAGTGAGTTTTTTTTTCAATTTGTTGCATTTTCCCAATAAATCAAACTACAAAATTTATATATATGAATGCCCTTGAGTTCTATATTTGATACTTAGGTTATCAAACAATCTCTTGAGTTTCATGTAAAAGCTACAATGCAAATGATAAATAGTTTATGGAATCCATGCTACAACAATGAATAGAAGTATATGAATCATTGTTACTAAAAACTTACACATGATTAAAGTTATATTTTACCTAACGCTTTTTCCATATCAAATCAATTATCTCCCCCATAATTTTTATATATAACTTTTTAGCATTGGATATATTTAGATAAATTCATGTTCTGCTTTATTCTATAATTTTTTTTCACATAACAAATATTTCACTTTCTTTTTAGGATTATTTTCATAACTTGTCCGCATCTAACATATTGAGGTTGTGATTGTTCCTGCTTTTTTACCATCTACTTCTGGCCTCAGGTAAGTACTTTGGACTTTTCATTATTTTATTTAAAGAAAATTTATATTTTTTGTGAAATTATGCTTTTATGATTCTGTAATATTATTATTTATAATTCAGAGTTTTTTTTGTTGTTTTACATTATTTTTATTCCAACATTTATTTTCATGACATTAAATTTTTCACATAATTTGTGTCTAACTTTATTATTGGTATTTTTTGTTGATACTTATTTATCATTCTCCTTAAAATTACTAGGTTATGTCATTATTATTGATAGCCTTTGTTGTGCATAATCTCTTTTGCTTTTGCACTGCATTGTGATTGAATGTATGAGATTTGAATTGAAAACTTCATAAGAAAATTATAAGTATGAAAAAATTTACAAAATTAATTCAACTCCCTCCCCCCTTTAAAAATTACATAAGTAGAAGCAGAACCACGACCTATGCTTTGATATCCAATTGATATAAAAAACCTAACACAACCAAGCACCCCAAAAGATAAAACTTATTGAGAAGGCCAAACAAAGACTATAGCAAATCGACAAACCATCCCAAGAAACAAAATTTTTACTGAAACCAGATCTTCATTATCCGGTTTATAAAATTCATTATAAAAACTATAACTAAAAAGTTAAAATTGAAATAATAAATTAAACAAAAAGTTATAGTTAAAGTTAAAAAGTTAAAAGTTATAATCAAAATAAAATTGTAATAAAAAATTATGAAAAGTTATAATTAAAATAATAGAAAAATACTAAAAAGTTATAAAACATTAAAATAAAATATAAGAGAGTTAGAAACGTAATTCGCTGTAACCGTTTCTAAAGGAAAAATAGAAGATGAAAATCCGGTTTCTTACGAAATCATAATTTTATCTTCCGATTTCTTTTAAAATCACAATCAAAGTAGAAACCGGATAATGAAGATCCTGTTTTTGTAAAACTCGGAAGTTCCGTATTTGCTCCTTTTTAAATTCTTTTATTAATATGCTCCTTAAGCTAATTTTAATTTAAAATGCACTCTTTTTATAAATTTGACTCCAAATAGTTGGGATAAAATTAACGATGATGATGATGATTTTTTATTTTTTGCTGTTGAATGATATAAAATGTGAAAATCTATTTGTTTTGAGTAACATCTATCTATATTACCTTTAGTCCATCATTTCTTGGTAATTTATTTACATTATGTTTATTTATTGGTCTAATTGGTACATTTTGTATCCCTTATGTACATTAAGGCTGGCAATTTTGCCCGAAACTTACTCTAGTTTTGAGTCAATTCTAAATTGATTGGAAATAATTGTCTTGATTTAATTGAGGAATCTCAAGTTGGACATACAACTAGTATTTTTTTCTTATTTTGACCATTCTAGATTTTAAGTTGACACAAAAGCAAATCCTATCAAGTTGAAGCTAGCTCGCTGGCAATATATTTTGATTTTGAGCCAAGTTTGACTCTCTCGAACTCAACTCGAAGCCATCTTTATTGTACACACCCAAACCACACAAGTTTATTATCTAATTCCTTTTGCTACTCTCATCATTCCTCGAATGTAGTTTCTTCTCAAATTATCATTTTAGTTTTGCCACATTCCTATTTTAATCTTCTCATTTCCATTATACTAGCTTAGCTATATAAAAGTTAGTTTAGCATACAAATATAACACTTTACATGATATGGCTGAGCTTTCTATTTCCAAGGATTAATTACTGTTTGGTTATCATGAGGTTGTCTATGATTCATTAATGTAGCATTTTAATTCTATTATACGCCTTTGTGGGTGCCAGCTAGTCCAATTAATGAGGGTCTTATAATTGTTGTCAAGGTTTTAGGTTTGATTCTCGCCCCCTACAACATGATAAATTCCTACCTTGTGGAATTTTGGGTGGGCAAAAAAAAGTAATGTCATTTAGAGTTTTTGTTTTTCTTGCTAGTCATTGGCTCTTTGTGCAACTTGAACTTGGAAAGTGGTATTTGTTTATATTCTAATGTCTACTGCGATAGATCAAAATTAACGGATCATCATATCTCCATATGCATTAAGATCGGATGAAGCAGTCTTTTAGCTCTAAGATTGACTGCCATCATTTATGCATTTCAGGCTGATTTATGTCTATTTCTGCATGGTTAAATAAAATCGGTAGATGTTTCTGACTCTCTTATGAAAAAATTTTCGAACTCAATCTAGTGTGTTGTTTGATATGTTAGCCTGAGGTGCCGCTTACTGTTGGCGGCTTGCTGCATTCATTGGGCTTAGGAAAATATTCCATCAACTTCCAGGCGGAGGAGGTAATTCTGTCTTCCTTAAACTTTAATTTCCGTTATTTCAAGTAATGTTTTGGAAGTGCTCATAATTATCTTATCTTGATAAATATTGAATTTTCACTATGAGTTTCACCAGTTATTATGCCAATACATGGTATTAAGCTTAACATTGCTTGGTTTGACCTTTCTCAACATCTGCACAATTTCTTGTTCTTTTGTTTTCCTCGTTCAAGATATTGACAAAAAGCTAAGTCTTGATTACCTATTATAAACTGTATTTAGAGTGCATAATGCATGAACAATCAACATAGGATGCAAATTTATGTATAGCCAATGTCTTGCAGGTTTGCCTCTTGAAAAGGCAAGTCGTTCTGGCTTTAGTGGATCCGCTTATGATTAGGCATCATAAAAAAATCCATATACTGGCAGCCTTTAATTACTCCATTTTAATCAGTTGTTACCATTATAATAGAGTATATTGGTATCCTTAGCATATACCACAGGCTTTCATGGCAGTAGTGGAAGAGTACTTCTCCTTCTTATTATATCTGCAAATAAAAAACATGATTTTTAGAGCAGCAATTGTACTCTTTCCTATCACCCTATTTTAATTTTCTTCTGTTAGATGGTTCCGTATTAATTCTGCGCTTTCTCCTGATGTAATGGAACTTTTATTCGGTCCAGTGAACGTGCGCTCCTCTACGTTCGGCCACCAATGTATACGCGCCACGTAGCTTGACGAAAAGTCGCCGACCCGACCCGCTTTATTTTGGGTTGTAGCACGTGTGGATTTTGAGTTTCACCCATTTAAAAAAAAATTTAACACGGGTTTGGATCGGGTCTTCGGGCTGCTACGTGGCATTATAATATTGGTGGGCCGAACCTAAAGGAACATTCGGTTGGAGGACGTAATAATTGGCACGTTAGTACAGTTTCATTTGTGATTTCTGTCATTTCTTTTTGTTTGACGGTTTAACCTTGAGGAGTCTCTTAAATTTGTGAAGTAGATGCTGTTGAAAGTATCACGAATGTTTAACTGCACTATATTATCATGTTAAATATCAACAATTTAAATGGGCGAAACCATTTCTTCCAATGATTTCTTTATAATTTTTTTGACCCAACCAAAAAGTATAATAAAATTAAGTATTGCAAAGTTGAGGATGCTTAGGTGGATGAATGAATTTACATTTAGAGATAAAATGCAAAATGATTATATACGTGAAAATGTTGGAGTAGCTCTAGTGGCAAATAAAATTAGAGAGAATCGCCTTAGATAGTTTGGTCACATAAAATGTCGGCTTTTCAATGATCCGGTTAGGAGAGTTGATGTATTATATTTGACCTATGTTAAGAAAGGTAGAGATGGATCTATAAGAATTTGGCTAGGTATTTGAAATGAATTTTTTTTTATTAGGTTTAAATGAGAATTTGACTCTTAATATGACACATTGGAGAAAAAAGATTTATGTAGCTGACCCCACGTAGTGAGATAAAGGTTTGATATTATTGTATCATTATACCAGGTTTTTTTTTCTAGATTGTTCCTTGTCTTTCATGTCTATGTATGACGACTTGAGCTTCCTTTGCAAGATCTGCTTAATTGTTTGAGATTTACGGTTTTGGCTTCTGTTGGCAGATTGACATGGCAGCGCTAAGGCAAATGGGAGACAGTGACCTGAAAGAGTTGGGGACACCCATGGTACCTTGTTGTTTCTTACTTTAGTTGGTTTTCAGAAATCTATTTTTGTTTTATTGATGCCGTCCTTTGTTGAATTGCTTGCTACTATGAAAGTTATCTACCTTTGGGCTTTAACTTATTTCGCTAGCTTGTTGCTTTAGCTTTATTTAACTCTTTGTTTTATTTTCTATGAAACTAGTTGAACTCTTTTTCATATCCAAAGATGTGATAACTATGTTTTTCTTTGTTCGGTTAATTACAATGCCTCCTAAACTTTATGATATCCTTACCAAGCTGTGACTGTAATAACTTGCTAATCTAAATTAGAGAAAAAAATCAACTTTCACTTTAGTGGGTGTGATATTAATGACTTCCTGTCAAGATTACTGCAATATGTATTACTGCAATATGTACTAAAAATAAAATTTTTTATCAAAAAGCTGCTTAAAAAATAATAATAAAACTGTCACAAATGAAACCTTAGAAATGATTATATTAGAGGTCGTGGCAGTGGCATCTAAGACAATGTAGGTTGGTAAAATTGATGAGTATTAGGAATGAAAATGCTGAAACCAAATGTAAGATGAAAGGTAATAGTGCAAAAAATATTTCAGAATAGATTTAATGCTTCATGCAATGCCCAATCTTATTGAATAGCTGTAAAACTGGAAAAATTGCTAGTGGTTAGACATGCCATGTATTTTTGCTTGCTAGTTTAAACTCATTTTGTATTCTATTTGGCTTTTGCTTTATATTCTTGTGCTCTCCTTTATATATTTATATATTTGAAGCTTTTTCTTATTGACTTGAAAGGTTACAAAAATTCCCTGGAGGGACCTAGTATGTCTTTCTTATTGTTTCTTAAAGCAACTTCTTTATACTAAGAAGTTTTAAGAAGCAGAAAGAAAGTCGTCCCAAACGAAGTTTAAGGCTTTATTTGGGGCGGCTTTCTTATTGCTTCTTAAAGTGGCTTTCTAGTATAATTTTTTTAATTTTTTTTATTAGAAAGCATCTTTAAAAAGTAGGAATAAAACTGCCTCAAACGAAACCTAAGTATATAGAAAACAGCTTTTTAGGAAGCTCAAGTGCTTGATTATTTAGGTCAAAAGTTTTTTATGCCAATATTATTAAATAATTTTTAAATGTATGGAAGTAGATAATTATTGGGATTAACGATTACACAATGATCCTTAACAATCTTTTTAATATTATTATAGGGATTTGTAACATCGAAGTAAGTTTCTTAGTGAGTAAATCAAAAGATAATTGACATATATTTGGGCTTTCACGAATCTTTATGCAAACTCTTAAAACTTTAAACTTAAAAAAAAATAATTGGATTTTATGTCGATAAGAAAGTTTCTCCTCAATCGCCTAAAATACAATATGGTCTATATTTTATAAAATTGAAATGTAGAATTCAGCAAAATATATCAATTTTATTTATGAAAAATTGAGAATGAATTAAATTGATATAAGTATGTCATATATTAAAGTAATTTAATTTTTAATTTATTGAATTTGTTATTGAGATCCTGAAGTTCTATTTCTAATGAAGTGGTATTTCTATTGCAAGGCAAAAATAATTTTACTATTAATGTAAATTTATAATTGTTTCATCATATCATTTTATGCATTGTTTGAGATAATTTTCTTTCTGTTTTTTGAAATGGCTTTCTAATATAAAATTTTTACTTCAATATCTTTTTGTATTAGAAAATTGTTTAAAAAATAATAAAAAAGTTGTCACAAGCAAAATTATTGGCTAAGTTTGGGATGACTTTCTTGCTTCTTGCAAAGTATTATTTTACTAAAAATAATAATAAAAAAACTATCTCAAAGAAAATAAGTATTCAAATTTAAAAATAAAAGTTGGCAGTCGAGTGCTATTTAAAAATAAAGCTCAAAATATCTACTGTGAAAGTTTTAAAGTTAATTTGAGTCATTTAAAAAAAATAAATATAGAAAAATAAAAAAAAATACTCTAAATAAGTATTCAAAATTTAATATTATTTACTTACAAATATAATAATTTGATGAAATGTATTTAAATCCACAATTAATAAATATAATTATAGCGCGCATCCGTCAAACCGAACCATCCAGAGACAACCAGGCCGTTCTTGACCAGTCGCCGCCGACTCTACTTTCCTCAGATCGACAGAGGAACGCTTTAGTTTGCCACAGGCGGTAACAAGGAACAAGGAGAGCTTTCCAGTTTTTCCAGCAAACCTCAAAACCCCTCCTCCTCCTCTCGATCTCCGGCAGCCAAGTTATACTTCCCCTTACTCCGTTCTTTCTGTTTTGATTCTTGAGCTCAAGAAGGGATCATCCTCGTCGTTTCCTAGATTTGATTCTTCACTGGGATTTCACTTTGTACTGTGGCGGATCAACGAAAAGAAGAAAGTGGGATTGGGTTGATGGAGGGCGGGGTAGCGGAGAAGCAGTCCTCGTATACGTATTGGGTGAGGGAGACGAAGGACGACGCGGCGCCGCTGCCTGTGCCTCGGAAGCTTACCCCGGAGGACATCTCTAAGCAATCCCAGCCTGTGTCGCTGGGATCCGTATGGAATCAGGTTAGCTGCCTGACACGTTTCGATAGCTGCTTTTGGGTTACTCAATAACTGATGATAGTTACGCCTCGTTCAGCTCCATTTCTGCTTCATGATTTCCATTTCCCTCAATCATTTCGGATGTTTCTTTAACTGCATCCCTGCCGCAACCTACGCGGCCGGCGTCCTCGTCCTCGGTGACGCCAACCTCGTCTTCCTGCCCCACTTAAACTACACTCCCCTATTCGAAATCTCACTTAGTCTATTGTGTTCAGCTCGAAGGCATCCGCGTTGCCGGCGACCTGCTTCCCATCCCAAAATCCGTGCTCGTATCAGAACACACTGGCGCCAGACAAACCATCGTCGACTCCGGCACGCAGTTCACGTCCCTACTCGGCGGCCCTGCTTACTCCGCGCTATAAGCCAAATTTTTAAGACGGACAAAGAGGTAAGGGTTGCTGAAGGAATTGGCTCTACCCGTATTCTTCCTGGCCGAAATCCATGCAGAACACTGAAAGTTTTGGTTCAGTTCTCTCGACGCCAACACAACACGGCTCGTTCCTCTCGCACAGCTCAGTCTCGGTGCCACGTGCAACTTTTTATTCGCGTAAGCTCATAGTTTTTTTAGTATTATAAATAGAACCGAGACAACTTAGAAATAATAGGTCCAAAGAATTATCAAAGGAGAGTCTTCAAAAATTTCGTGTAGATTCTGCTTACATGCTTGCTGTAGTGAAGCGAATATCACTTGAGCGACGAATTGATAAAATCCAGCAAGAAATATTCTAGATATGATACATTTTTACTTGGATAAATACAATTTGATTTTATGTGCTTTTATTGTCTTTTATTTATACCTTTTTATTCTGTATTTTATAATTGTGAGTCATTTTTTATTGTTGTTCAAACTTTATCTATTGTCATCTGCACTTATCATTAGAAAAAAACATGTTGATAATTGTGAATTTACTCGTAATATATCCTCTTTGGTGGATACACTGTAGTTTGTTAAAAGAGAGATCAATCAACATTAAATTTTAGTTCGAAGTCAATTTTAAACTGCCATACATATATTGAGCTAACTTTCCACTGCAAGGTGACTAGTTTTTGTTCATGTTAGTAAAATAATGAGTTTGCATATCTTAATTTAGTTAATCAATTGCTAATTTTTTGTTTAAAATCTCATTAGATATATCTGCTTCATCAGAAGCCACTAAAATCTCTCGTATAGAGCTAAAAGGTATACTCTGTCTTGTGTGCCATAAAAATTTCAAAAGAGCAAAGATGCTCAAAGATGTTGAGGATATGGAAAAATATTATAAAAGTCATAAAAAATAGTTAAAGTACCGATATGACAAGTTTGATAACTGTTTTTTGTAAGAGGCGGAATTGTTAATTCACAAACTCGAAGCAGATCATAAAATTAAGGTCTCGTCTGATTAGACTTTATGGCAGTTGCCAATCTATTGATGTGTTTATTGATTGGCAACTGCCATAAAGTCTAATCAGACGAGGCCTTAATTTTATGATCTGCTTTGAGTTTGTAAATTAACAGTTCCGCCTCTTGCAAAAAACAGTTACCACACTTGTCGCAGCGGTACTTTAACTGCTTTTTATGGCTTTTATAGTACTTTTATATATCCTCAACATATTTGAGCCTCTTTGCTCTTTTAAAATCTTCATGGCACATGAGACACAATATACCTTTTGGCTCTATAAGAAGAATTTTAGTGGTCTATGATGATGCAGACATATCTAATGGGATTTAAAAAAAATTAACAATTGATTAACTAAATTAAGATATGCAAACTCATTATTTCACTAACCTGAACAAAAACTAATATTTTTTCAGTGGAAAGTTAGTTCGATATATATAGGTCAGTTTAAAACTTATTATCAGAATTAAGACTCAAATTAACTTCGAACTAAAATTTAATGTTGATTGATCTCTCTTTTAACAAACTACAGTATATCCACCAAAGAAGATATGTTACGAGTAAATCCACAATTATCTACAATTTTTTTAAATGATAAGTGCAGAGGACAACAGATATAGTTTGAACAACAATAAAAAATGACCCACAACTATAAAGTACAGAGTAAACAGGCATAAATGAAAAATAATAAAAGTGCATTAAATCACATTGTATTTATCCAAGTAAAAATGTATCATACATGAGATATTTTTTGCTAGATTTTATCAATTCGTCGAGCAAGTGATATTCGCTTCACTACAGCAGACATGTAAGCTGAATCTACACGAAATTCTTGAAGACTCTCATTTGATAATTCTTTAGACCTGTTATTTCTAAGTTGCATCGGTTCTATTTATAGTATTAAAAAAACTATGAGCTTACGCGAACAAAAAGTTGTACGTGGCACCGAGACTGAGCTGTGCGGGAGGAATGAGCCGTGTGATGTTGGCGTCGAGAGAACTGCACCAAAACTTTCAGCGTTCTGCATGTATTT